GGCGACGTCCTCCCGAGAACCGGCACGCTCGGCGCGCGCGTGCCCGGGGCTGGACTGCAGCTCGGCGCGCAGCGCGGCGACGACCTTCCCAACCCAGCGGCTCCTTCGGCGGGACCTTCCTAACAGTTTTTATAAGCAGTCATTAAAAAGGCAAAAAAAAAAAAGGGGGGGGAAATAAAAAGTAAAAAGAAAAAAAAACGCTCAGAGTCCTCTGTGAGGAATATTCTCTATTTTAAATATTTTTTTAGTATGTACTGTGTATGATTCGTTACCAATTTGAGGGGATTTATACCTATTTTTTAGAGATTTTTAAAATGCTCTTATTTTTCCAACAGCTACAAGTGACACGTAGTGGAGCAGTGCTAGGTTTTCTTGCAGCCAGAGGTATTTTTGTATAGATAAGTGTCTCTCTCTCTAAATAAAGAAATAAAAGTTAAAAAGCGCTACCGCGTGCATGGAACTGGGACCAACCCTCTTGCTCCAGGAGCAGCCCCAGGGATGCACCACAAGAGGCTTTATTTTTCTAACGCAGAACTAGTCAAGCCAGCCAGGAGGAGATTTTAACTTTATTTTTTAATAACCTTGAGCCTTAAGGAGAAAAAAAAAAAAAAAAGGCAACAGCAGAAAGTGAGAAGAGGCCTTAAAGCAGCCCTGGGCTGGGGGCTCCCCTGCTGAGGCTGCTAGAGCACGTTGGAGACAGCCGAGAGCCTTTAAATTATTTATTTTGAGCTAAGAGCAGGTTGGGAATCACAGCTCTCCACAATTTTTTTAACCTCTCTTCTATTTCAAGCCCCTTTGAAAGCGAGTTTGTCTGTTGGAGCGTCATCGGGAGGTAACCGTGCCTGTTAAATTATGGTCTAAACTGTAACCAGTCCTTTATTTATCTCTTTAATTCCTTTTTTTATTATTATTATTATTATTCTTTTTGGAATCCGTGTCCTGGGTTTGTACAAACTTGTGCTCTGCCTTTTCTCTTCGGTCTAAGGATAAACTGGAAAAAAAAAGAAAGAAAGAAAGAAAGAAACCTTGTACAAACTGAAGATTGCAAATGTAGCGTATCACTGAATCATTTGCCTTGTTTTCTGCCCCCGCTCTCAGGGACACACGAGCGAGGCCGAGGGTGTCACCGGCTCGGCCGCCTGTCCCCCGCGCTGCCTCGCGTGGGGACGGGGCCCTTGGTGGAGCAGGGGCCGAACAGTTAAGGATTGCTTTTTAAAAAAGACAGCAAACTTTTTTTATTTAAAAAAATGATATATTTGTTAACATTTTTTTTAGGGATTCAGTAGAAGAAAAAAAAAATCTTAAAGCACTCTTATAATATGGCATCTTTCTATTTCTGTATAAAAAGCAGATCTTTTTAAAGTATTTCTGTAACTTAAAAGACCTGTCATTTAAATCATATTTTGTCTTTAGGTAAGTTTTTGTTTTTGTTTGCAAGATCTTTCTCTTTGTGAAACTTACCTTTTTTTTGTATATTATTGTTTGCAATAAATATACATTGTATTAAAAGTTAACCCCTCTCCTTCCCCCGTGGTATCTGATTTATTAGCAGCCTTTGAGCCAGCCGGGGCTGGGCTGAGGCCCCTGTTTTCAGGGTGTCCCCACGTGATGTCACGCACGTTGGGGACGTGACAGTGAGTGAAGAGCTGGTGCCAAGTGGCTCCTGCGGGAGCACCAGGATGAGCCGGGCTCTGCTGGCACCGGGCGATGCCGAGGGGCAGCGCGGTCCTTAACAGCAGTTCAGTGCAGGGACACGGTGGCTCTGTGCGTTAGGGAGGGTCGGTGGCACTGTCCCCTTGGGCAGGTGGCCGCTGGGGACGTTCTTCCTGGCCCACGGCTGCTTTTGCCTTGGCTGCTCCCTTGGAAAGAGGCAGGGATGCAGCTGCCGGAGCCGCAGGCTCTGCCCTTGGGAAACCACCCAATGCCCGGGGGCTGCTGGCATGGATGGGACAGGATGGCACCCAGGAAGGGGACCTGGAAAACATCCCGGAAGCGAGATGGCCTCTGCCAGCCTCTCCGGAGCTGGTCCCAGGTGGGAAGCCCAGGAGCATCCCCAGCGCTTCCCAGGCAGGATCTTCCCAAAGCTGCGGCGGGGCTTTTGCTCATCCCTCCGGGATGCAGAACCCCAGCACTCCCATGGGAGTATCCGTGTCCCAGCCTGGCTGTGCTCCGCTCTCCCGCACTCTGCAGCATCCCAGGGACCTGCTCCTCGCATAGGACCTGGGGCTCCGGGAAGGCCAGCGCGGAGGCTCCGGGAAGGCTGGAAAGGGAGCGGGAGGCGGGGAGGGGGCGGCCGGCGCGGGAACTCGCGCAATGCTGCGGGGCAGGTCGGAGCGGCGCGGGCCGGGCGCTCCTGCAATGCAGCGCGGCGGGTTCCGGAGCGCCGCGGGCCGGGGCACGGCCAGGGCGCCCGCTGCCCCCGTGCCTTGCGGTGGTGCCGGGTCGGGCGGGCACGACGGGATGCGGCAGCTCGGGATGCAGGTGCGGTGATGCAGCCACCAGGTTCAATAAAAGCTACTTGAAATAAGAAATAAAAAAACAGCAGCTAGACAGGGGCGAAGGAAACAAGCCTCCAAATTCACATTTCTAATTAATTCCCTGCCCGGGAGCTGCTCTTGGTTTTCAGCAACTGAAACGTTTTGCAGAACGAGTCGAGGAGCAGAGGCAGCACCGGGAGCCTCGGCCTCGCCGGGACCGTGAGGATGAGGAGGGACCGCGTCTGCCCCACAGAGCTTGGGAAGACGCCTGCGCCCACGGAAGAGTCCTCACACATGGGCATCTCCCCACTGCGTCCCAGGGGTAATTCCTTCCTCACTGGCATTGCCAGCCTTTCCCGCTCGGAGCCGCCCAGGGCTCTGCTCCCAGGCCCGGATCCAGCGAGACCCACATCATCCTCTCCCCATATCCCAGCAGGGCAAAGAGAGGAGTCCGAACGCAATCCCATGGATTTGGAGGGACTGTTTCAGCCCCCAGCCTTGGGTCTTCCTCGGCAGAGGCTGCTCAGCCGTGAGCACGACCGTGGCTGCTGAGGACCCAACACCAGGTCCTGACCCCGGGTACGGGGACACTCATGTCCTAGAGCCCCCCAGGGCCCCACACACCTCAAGACGAGGCGGGGGGAAGCCAAGACGCCCCAAATTCAACGTCCTTCCCCCAGCGCGGGATTAATTACACGAGTTGTCTGGGCACAAACCGACTATCACCAAGCAAAGTCTCACTCCATAAATTTAAAGCTGCTAATAATGGGGCTGGACAGGAGTTTTAAAGCTTCAGTGGACAGTTTACAATTAACCTACTCCTGTCAGCTGGAAAATCACCCTACAATGCGATTCCCCTTCACGTCTGACTCGCTCGGAGCCAGAAGCGGCTTTAGAAACGCCGGAAAGGCGGATTCCGGCTCCCGGGAAGGGCAGGTTCCAGCCCGGACCCGATCCGCATCGCTCCCGCTGTGCGGTGGGAGGTTGGCACTGGGCTCGTTGCAGGGTTGCAAGCCAGAATTCCACTTTTCCCAAATTTTACAAGTCTTCAGATTCCTCCCAGTCACACTTTTGTCATCTGTCCCAAAGGGACAAAACGTGGCTGGAAGCTCCTTAGATTCAACGGCCGTGATGAAACCCAGTGTCACCTGCCCTGGTGCACACGCTGCCCTGGCCACGAGGCTTTCCCAAGCTACCCTTATGGAGGAGGAAAACTTGCTGGGAATTAAGGAGGGCTCTCCTGGCTGGCTGCACATGCCCTCGGTGGAGCTTGGGATCCATCCCCAGGGTCTGCAGCTGCACCAAGACCAAGACTCATGTCCCTTGTCACAGCCACAAGGTGAAGTTCCAAAAAGGGCCAATCTGAAATTCCTAAACAAGAATAAAAAACAGCCAAACAACCGTGATAACAAATTCCATTAGTGCAAGGGAAAACGTGGGGAAAGGGGGGAGGAGACACCCAGTCATTTTCGGTGATTAAAAGGCAAATTTTATTCCCCCGGGCCCTTGGCAGCGCTGGGGCGTTGCTATGGTTTCCCACCCACCGGCTGGAAATGACAATATTAGCAGGGTGACCTGGTAATTGGAAACTGTGCCCCCAGGTCAGGCTGCAGGGAAAATAAAGAGAGATTAGGGAGCCCTCCCGAGCACATAATGCTGCGGGCTCCTGCGCTCCCCACCTTTTATACAGGGCCCATTTAAATGCAGATTATGACTTTCCACCTGGGGCTGCTAATCTGTCTCCCAGCCAGATCGCACAATGCGGGGGCTCTCCATGCTGGGGGGCCGGGCGCTTCCCCCGCTCCGTCCCCAGCTCCATCCCTATCCAGCCACCCCTTTTTGCTCAGGGCAAAGCCCAGACTTTGGCATTTGCGGATGGTTATTTTTCCACCCAGGATGTCTAAATCCACCCGCAGGCCCCAATATCTTGGCAAAGCCCAGCCCCAGCTTTCCCTGGCAGCCACGTGGTAGAAAACCAGCGGGAGCAATGGAGCTAATTGGCACCGCGATCCACCCGGATCACCGGTGACTCCAGCCCTCCGGCTGCATCCAGGCACCCAGCAAGGAGCCCCGGGAGAACCGGACTGCCGAGCGCAGCACCCAGCGTGGGCAGCACCGGGCACCCTGCTGCGCCGGGAGGCATCGGGAAGACAAAGCCTCGGGGTTCCCAAAACGGCCCCAAAAAGCCCTGAGATAAAGTTATCACAACCACAAGAGCTCAACCTACGTGAACAAACCACCAGGCCCATTTGTCCCGTGCAAGAGGGACTCTAGGGATGAACCAGGGTCACTCTTGGCAGGTTGCTTGTCACTAGCAGGATCCCCGGGAGGCCTGGGGGACCTCAGAACCGTTATCCAGGTGACACGGACAAACCCGGGAGCAGCTGAGGCCTGCGGAGCCGCGAGCCTGGGACGCCAGAGCCCGAACGCTCACCCCTCGGAGGGAGGTTTTCCTGGGAAAAGCAAAAGGGAATCCTCAATAAATAAATAAAATCAACTTTCAGAGGGAAGACCAGCTTCTAAAAGCACCTGTGGATGCAGGCTCTGGTCTCGAGCTGCCTCCTTTCTCCAGCTCTGACACTGTAATTGCTGCTCGGAGTTCTGCTCCAGCAGCACCACAAGCAGGAACGCTGCACCTCAAGAAAAGCAAGACTGGGCCCCCCAAAAAAGCCCAAATCGAGTTTTCCTGGCCTCAGAAAGGCCTTTGCCAACCCTTCCCTCCCCCCTTCCCAAACTGTCATGCTTTATTTTGTTTGGGTGGATTTTCTTTCTCTCTTCTCCCCCCGCCCCCTCGCAAACAGATAGTTTTCCCATGGCGATCCGGCCCGCTCCGTGCCCATTAGCATCCCTGTGCATAATTAGAGGCCGGCGCATT